TCTTCTGGTTTAGGTTTTAAGAAACAAAGGTGTTTATGAAAATGTCAAGTATGTACAGCAGGAGAACTTTTGGATCGGGCCGGGTTCGGTGAGCACTCTTCTCTAAAAAGATCAATAATGCAAGCAATAAAGGGACATACATATCTTCAAACCAATACTACATTTAAGATGTTTGTCCTATTGTCTTTTATTCTTAGGAAGCTCTGATCCACTTGGGGGCCAAATTCTCTCCATGCATGCGGCAGGACAAACAGGTGCATGATCTTATCAGGGATAAAAGAGCTATCGAACGCAACTCTGCCTGCTGTGTGCGTAACGATCGCTCCGGCTGCGTCCAAACCTCAGCGGAGGAATGCTCGGTCTGTAAACCATCCCTCTTCTTGTTTGTGTTCTCCTACCTTTATAGTTTAACCGTAAATCGAAGATGTTAGCCTCTAACGCTTTCATTTGTTGTTTTATATTTAGAGTACTCTAGCTGTGTGGGTAAAGTGGCCGAGTCATTTCAGCACACCCCAGTTAGACGGTAAAGACAGACAGTATGGCTCTGTATGCCATCAGGATCCCAGGTAAATACACTTATTTCATTTTTCTCATTAACGGATACGGTTTGGTAAAAATACATAATGTATGCATATTGTTTGTCTCATTAAAGGATATGTCTAGAGCCTGCCTCAGTAACACCTCATGAATGGCCTGATGACATCAGCAAATGGCCGGTATGTTCAGTGACATTGTGTCTGGCATTTAGACATAAAGAAATGACAGACCCTTTGGAAAGTTTAATAACATCAGCTACATGTGATCCGGCCTCGATAATAAATTCAATATTTGAAAAGATTGATTTCTCAATGTTTGATTGATTTTTTTTAATAAAGCATACTTTATCCAAAGAATGAATGGTCTAAACATGTATTTCCAACATTGGTGTCATAGAAAACAGGACAGACATTCACACATAGCATGCAAAGAATCCCTTAAATAGTAAGAAACAAGACCCAGGGCATCTGAAAACATGCTGTATTATCTATTCAATAAAACACACTTACAGCTTTAACTCAAACGCGTGACGGGGATTAAGCAACGTTTTCTGTCCAGAGTACATATTGCTCTCTTTGGTGAATCTAGGAAGTATATAGATTTTGGCTCTGATTAAGATTAAAAAAAAACTAACAAAACAACTGCTTTCAGATTTGTACCAGGTACAACACAGGGAACCACACCAACCTGCCTCATATAGACTGTACCATCACAGGCCGACCCTGCTGCATTGGAACCAAAGGGAGGTGAGGGGAGCCGATGTACCTGTCACTAATATGTGTCCTGGACTAGTAGAGAAACAGGATGTATGATAGGTTATTCATTTAGAAATGCTTCTTGTTTTTCTCAAGGTGTGAAATAACATCCCGGGAATATTGTGACTTTATGAACGGCTACTTTCATGAGGAGGCTACTCTCTGCTCTCAAGTAAGCAACCATCTTAATTAGATTTTATTATCGGGAGAAAAGGAGCTGTTCAAAGCCAAAACGTCCTTTGTTATACTATGTTGTTTCCTGAATACCAAAACATATTAATTGTGAACTCACCAAACATTTCTGTGTAGAAGATGTGTTGTCTGCTTAAAGGTGCACGTCATATTTGATCTTTGATTATCACATTCATAATTTGTGTATGACATAATATGATGTGTTACGTCCATTTTCAGGTGCACTGCATGGACGATGTGTGTGGACTGTTGCCTTTCCTCAACCCCGAGATCCCAGATCAGTTTTACAGGCTCTGGCTCTCACTTTTCCTGCATGCTGGGTAAGTCTGTCAAGATACTGCAAAGTGATTTTGCTTAATATAAAATGTACTTGGCAAAAGAAACCAACAAAAAGGAAAGGGGATGTTTTTTATATGAAATGTAGTATTCCTAGAGATTATATCTGTGGATGTATTTCCAAATTCAAACACGAGTAGTATATCAAAGAAAGATCTTGAATAAGAAAAAATGACTTTCTACACAGTAGTACAAATCAAAGCAAATCCGGCTAACCAGAAACATAATTTAGCAGATAAAATCAGCCTTTCAGCCGATAAATCGGTCAAAACATGATTTATAAAGAGCTGAAAGCCAGCTTGTCTCAGCATGGTATACTAAATCAGTTTTTTTCAAGGACTGTGTTTGCACCCAGCGGTAAGGAAAGGATGATTAAAAGATCAGAATCAGCATCATGTTTATGAGCAAAATATATTTGGCACATACAAGGAAATTGACTAGCTGTCTGTAGCTCTTGGTGAATTCATACTTACCTCAACACAAATGTATGGAAAGATAAAGAGACATATTAAATATCTAAAAGAAAAAAAACAATCGGGAGAAAAGGCATGAGTAGCAAAGGTGAGGTTATTGGTTGTTAATCATATGTTGAATATAAATGCAAGAGTCCATAAAGAATATAATATGGGAAATCCAATTCAATCGAGTGCTATCATATCCCTAGTGATATGTGCACATTAATAGTGCATTCATTGTATAAATGCAGTGTATATTTAAAACTGGCTGCACCACTCTCTGTAGTTCAGACCTGACAGCACAGAGAGCTGACCTCCCTTTAGAAGAGCGGTGCTTCATCTTCATGCTGTCTCTTATCCGTCTCCCGGGCAATTAAACAAAGTGCCCTAACCTCACAAACTCATTAAGCTTCAATGGGATAGAGACCGATTTTGTAGATGTGCAAAGTCATCGGTCTGCTGAGGGTTTTTTTCTTATCTTCCTAACACGCACAGCTTTTCTCACTGACATACACACACGTCCCGCTACACATATAACATATTAAATATAACATATATGACACATATACACATAATAACCTTTTCTCCTTCCTCCCTAGGATCCTTCACTGCTTGGTGTCGGTTGCTTTCCAGATGACCATCCTGAGGGACCTGGAGAAGCTGGCAGGCTGGCTGCGCATCTCAATCATTTACATTCTCAGTGGCATCACTGGCAACTTAGCTTCAGCCATATTCTTGCCCTACAGAGCGGAGGTAATCACCAGTATCACACTCACCAAACATCAGTGCATTTAAGAGCCATATTATCAGGGTTCCTGTTTTGGAGCTCATTAAGTTTATTAAGAACATCATATAATGCAAGGAACTTTTAAAGGTCACCTATTATGCAAAATCCACTTATTTTATACATAAACATGTGCCCCCTCTGCATTAGGAGACTCTGAAAGTTTCAGGAAAAAAGATTCTCTCACTTTTTGTCCTGATCCATTTATATAAAAACCTGTCTGAAAATGAGCTGATCAGATTTTGGCCACTTTATGATGTCATAACGATTTTTTTGGCTTGTGTAACCATTAGCCAATCACCAACCAAGGTAACACCCACCCACCTTATCACCTGAATGGGGCGTGGGGAGGGGCGTGAGGAGGGGCTCCTTATTTTCATCTAAAGTAACAGACAGAGAATCAGCACTTTTGAAACAGGGCTGAAACAGAGGGGATTATGGGTAATGCTGCAATGATCTGTTTGGTATTTGGAGCCATACACTTCAGAGACATGTTTTATGTATATCTGAGACCTATAATGTATTGATAAAAAACAGTATAAAAGGTGACCTTTAAATAACGTGGTGAATGTTTGTGCACATGGTTATGTTAGCTTATGCCTCTCTCTCTGCTGTCTTTTTGTCAGGTGGGCCCAGCCGGCTCTCAGTTTGGGATCCTGGCCTGTCTGTTTGTGGAGCTGTTTCAGAGCTGGCAGATCCTCGCCCAGCCCTGGAGGGCCTTCACCAAGCTGCTGTGTGTGGTGCTCTTCCTCTTTGCCTTTGGGCTGTTGCCTTGGATCGACAACTTCGCCCACATTTGTGGCTTCATCTCCGGCTTCTTCCTGTCCTTCGCCTTCTTACCCTACATCAGCTTCGGCCGCCTGGACATGTATCGTAAACGCTGTCAGATCATCGTCTTCCTGGTGGTGTTTGTCGGGCTCTTCTCGGGCCTCGTGGTGCTATTCTACGTCTACCCAATCAAGTGTGAATGGTGCGAGTTGCTCACCTGCATCCCCTTCACGGACAAATTCTGTGAGAAGTACGACCTCAACGCTCACCTCCACTGAAGTGTGGACAGTGTGAGCGAAACAGGAAGGCATCAGGTCAAAAGAGGAGGACTCACAGATGATATCAGCAAGTCTGTGTCTCCACTCTGCCCCTGTGTGACTGTCCCCCTCGTTGTGAAAAATGACAATGTACTTTGTGTTTGTTTTTTTTACTCTGTCAGTATGAAAACCTATGCCCCTCATCCTAAACACTTCCTTCTTTCACCTCCCTGTTCATTGTCACTCCTTCATTGTCCACTGAAACAAAGGTATGGCACTTCTGAACCTCATCAATGTTCCCAGCTGCCTTTTACACGAGAGGCAGGAATTAGAGAAGCCAGCGCTGGTACAGACATTGATTTTATTATTCAGGCAACCTCAAACAAAAGCAGGGACAAATAAATCAAATATCGATACCGTTGGTGCCTTGTTGAAAAATGTACCAACTACTGCCATATTTTTGTTACGTTATGCTGAGCACTCAAATGTTTTCTTTTATCTGTTTGTATTGCTTCACGAAGTGATGATGTTTTAACCCGGTAGTGTTTTAGCTACCTGTCTAATCACATGTAACTGAAAACAACAGTAAAAAAGATCGACAACCTTAAGTGGTCTGTGATTTTATCTTTTTTATCAAAAAATGCCTGTCGAAGATTTTACAGTTTATTCAAATTGTGTAAGAAAGAATCAACAAATATCTGCTACAAATACTCAATTGACAATAGAAACATTTTAGCAATATGGAATACATTTTCACAGTAAAGACACTTTGAATTGATCTCATCCTTTGCATCCTTACTGGGGTACTGAGATGAGGAGGTCCATTTAGACCTTGTTACCAACATTGAACCCTGTCTGCTGCACACAGGCTGACCGGAGTCCATGTTTGAGATAGGAGGGTGTAGGAGCTCATAAACTAGCAGCCACTGTTCCGCCGTACGAACGCCTGCCCACCAAGTGTGAACTCCATCTCTTGGAATTGCATGTTGCATATGGAGATGGCTGATGTTCCTTTCTCCTTGAAGCCGGCCTTTACGTAGAAGGGCACCAGGAAGTCTTCACAGATCAGCAGCGCCCGGCAGAGGCCCGGCATACAGCGCAGGTACTGCAAGTAGCGCCAGAGGAGGATGGAGCCCTTGCCTTGCTGGCGACAGTGACGGTGCACTGACAACACATGGATGTGCACAGTGGGGGTGTCTGGAACATGCCGAGTCATTGCCTCCTGGAGAAAGGGGAATACATAGTCACATGCATCAGAGAAAGTCATTTTTCTTCATGGTTAAACAAGGTTTGGCACATTTTTATTTTGTACATATTTTCATACCTGTGAAAGCCTCTCCTTATCCCAGCCAGTGCCGATGATGAAAGCTACCAGCTGTCCCTCCTCAAACCAGCCCAGCGACAGCTCAGGGCACTGGCCCACAAAGTTAAGCACCTCATCCAGGGTAAGTGGACACTCTCCAGACACCGAGACAAATGCTGGAAGGGGGGGGGAGCACCGGTTTATTCAGTGGGTCATGTCCTGGGAGTAGTAATGAATATCAGGACAATACTACAATTTGAGAGAAATGTGCTCTTTTTCAACTTAATACTGCTTTAACACTCAAAAGATATGTAACATTTATATCTTCCCCAATAACATAAAATACAGTATATCACCTCTACACAAGAACATGAGTCAAGTTCTTAGCTGGTGATACATTGTGTTAAAACGCATATCAGGTTAGTTTTATGGTGAGCAGAAACTTGACTTACCTTCTCTCTCGATCTCAAACACACTGATAGCGTCCTGCGGCGTGAGGTTCCTGAACTCGCTGGCAGGGAGTGTGTGTCGTCTCTGTCGCAGAGGGTTGACCACTCTCACAGGCGTCTTCAGAAAAAAAGGCTTGAGGAACGGTGAGCCACTGACCTGCTGTGTCATGATGCCTCAAGGCAGGAAGATCTGGTAATTTGAGGAATCTCTTGTTAATCACTTTTATTCTCTTCCAGCCTTTTTAAATATAAAGTTTATAAGGATGCAAAATGAGTCCAACAAAAACTTTGGTCTGCTCAGTTTGTCCAACAGACCGTCATGTAACTCACTTCTCTGTCTCCCCTGCCCTCTCTTGCTCCTCTTCTTTCTCTCTGATCTCATACTGTAAAGTGGTCCTCTCAAAGTAGGGTAGCTGTCTGAGCACATGTGTACGCAGTTTCTTAATCCCCTGCTTACAGACAGGCATTATGTTATTAGGGTGTTTCTTTTGTGATTAGAGTTTAGAGACCGTAAACTCTTTAGTTCTATTGTGCATATTTTTAACAGACAGTATTTTGAGTTATCTCCGTTTTGGATGTTGTCAGCACTTAGTTTTATTTTTCTCACACCTTATTTTGTATTTGTTTATCTGGTATTGGATATATTCACTGTGGGATGAATGTCTTTTTGTGACAGTGAAATGTTATGTTTTTTAGGGGAAATCAAAGGCATGATTAAACCCATACAGAGCTAGGATGGAGATTTGCCTCAAAGAGGTTTAGTGCAGACTAATTAAATGAGGGAGCACTTTCTTTGACCGGCCTGAGGTAAACGTGTTTACAGTTTACACAGACTTGTTTGACCTTTTAGTTTTAGCATAAATTAGAACCTAAATGGAGAAAAAAGAGCTTTAAATAGTCCATTATCCTCTAATCTTGAATTTTGAGTTTACTAGTTGTGCAAGTGTCTTAGAGTTTAAAACAGTATTCTTGGTGGATTTAACTTTTCCAAAAAATATTTTCATTCCCAAGCATCTGCAACAAACGAAAGTCCTGTCTTACATTCGTTATGTCTCTGCAGAAAGCCAAGCTTCACCCCTAAATCACCCAGCAGGAGGCATATCCTAATATTTTTTAAAGTACTGCCCCAAGAGATGAGACCAATATAGAAATGTTTTAAGGATTATTGTTTACCCCAACTGTTTATTTTTACTGTTAGATAAACATTTGTACAGATTTGTATCTACCTTTCTGAACAGCAGCTCTCTGTGTGGCCTGGGAGGGTCGGAAATGATTCCTAATCTTCTCTCAAAATGACATGGTTAAGTTTTTTAAATCATAAAAACATCTTTCAGCTTATCAAACAAGCTAATACATTTAAAAGCGTTAAGGAAAGCCTTTAGCTCTCGACTGATCCCACCCACTGACCTTCTCATAGACCCTAATCTCATTTACAACATGTGTAAACACATAACACATACATTTGCAGACACATTTTCTCAGAGTATTATGTTTTTACAGGCACACCCGAAACCTCTGTAACTGAATCCTTATTACATTTCACACTGCCTGTCAGTCCAGCTGAGCAGAGAGCAGTTAACTAATACTGCTGGAGAATGTCTTTATGAAATATGAGACACTTAGCAAATTCATCCTGACATGAACCGGCAAACACCAGCAGGTTGATATATGTGCGCTTAATCAAAAAAATAAAACATGTATGTACTCGTTTCAGGGTGAGATGTAGAGGTATATCATCTGTAATATACTGACGTTAACAATGTGGAATCGAGGAAAAAATAGTGAATTATTAATAGGATTTGTGCACTGTCAAGACACAGATATTCAGTTTCAGCACAATAAATGAGCACACACCCTTCTTCTTTGCCACAGACTGTTCATCCCCCGATTGGCCTTACTTCACTGTTGCTGCATTCATGTTGAGCAGCTAACATGTTTCATTTCTGCTTTTCATAGGAATCTGTTGCAGGACCATGGCAAACCATAAGCAATAATATAAACACAAATGATGTACTGAAAAGTAACAGATAGATACTATTCCAAATTCAAAGATTTTTCCAATTATAACTATACTTTGATTTATTTATTTGTATTTGTACTATATATTATGTGTTTTTATTACATACTGTACTATTACTTTTTTATTACACATGATAACATGACTTCTAAAACTTTCTAGTTCAATTCTATACTTTATTGGCCTACTCTTTTTATGAAATACTATTCTGGGATATTTTTATGATGTTGTTTGACATTCTTAACTATGACTTATTTTAACTAAATGTAAAACATACTATACAATGCCATTATTTATTAAAAAAATAAAAAATGTTATAACATAAAGTAGAGAAACCTATAGGATAAAGCACCTCTATTGGACACAGATCCGACACAAGGCAGGATGTAGTTAAGCAGTCGCTGCTAAGGAACTGTACCTGGTGGTGTTGCTACTAGCAACAGAATGCTCAACTGAAGCCAGCTGCTGGTGGCAGAACATGGACTGCGGCTTCAATGAAATGTTGCTGTATCAAATGGTATTGGGATTTAAAGGGAGACTTGTTTACTTGTTCCCTGTTTGGTGACTCAGATTGTAAATGACCTTAGGCCGACTGGGAGGGACACTTCTCATCCACTTACATCTGAGTAAGCTATAATTCATTTGTTGACAATGCAGCTGCACTGTTTTAAGCTTTAGCCTTCTTTTTCTAGTTCTCATCAAGGGACATCAAAAGTTATTTATCTTCAAAACAAGATGACAACAGCCTTTAAACATAATTTCACAAATGGCATTTTATGATACTCTTCGTAGCACTTTATGAATGGAAATACCATATATAGATCATGTTAATCATAAACTAACAGGACCATAAGAATAAATAAAAACCTTTATGGTTTTACTGCAGTTCATGGTCCCTGTGAGGAATCCTAATCCATAGGAGGATTGTGTTGCCTCCTTTGCCAGCAGGGGGCACTGTTTTTTCTTACATGACAATCTTTGCCAGGTTTAAACCAATTTGTGGCAGGCATTAAACACACTTATAAAGTAAGTAATAATAATCAAAGATCAACATCTGGCCACCCTGTAATCATAATTTAGGCCCCAAGTTCAAACTTAAAAGTAAATAAGTAACTAAAATAACATGAGATTGCAGTATATGGAGTAACATATTATAATACGCATATGCATCATGACTAAAACCACCAGACTCGGACGGTTTCATCCCACAGGCCATAAAACTATTAAATACCTGCATTTTTTTAAACATCCACAACATTAATCTGGCTGCAATTTATAAATTATTTATCTATTATATCATATTCAATCACTTGCATAGTATTGCAGTATTCAACTTTTTAGTATCTTTATTTTTGTATTTACTTGCACTATTTTTTCAGTTGTATTGTGTTGCACTGTTGGAGGAGCCTGTGACCTAAGATTTTCATCGTCATAACTACACTCTAGCTATGTATGCATGACCAATAAAAGCCTTCAAAAGTATTCTCCGAAGTAAATAGGTACTGTGATGGATCAGAAAGGTTCAGGGTCAGAAAGTATTTAATCTGTTCTTTATTGTTATACACATGCTGCTATACACACGAGGAAAGACAGGTATTGATTTTACAGAGAGCCACAAACCACCTACTGTGGAGTTATCCTGGATACCAGGTCAATAGTGGTCACAACAGGAACAGGAAGGCACAGTGTCAAGTTAAAATGGCACAGAAGAGGCGCGGGGAAAGACAAAACAACCATGTTACTAAAAAGCGGTGAGAGGTTCAAGCCTCTACGAGTTCACATGCAATCGCTAGCCCAATTAGTAATTGCACTGTTTGCACTTATTGCATTGGATGGTGGTCATTCCAATCAAATGTAATCTTAAAAATCCACTTGAACCTAAATACTAAGAATAAATGCATAATTGATACATGGTCATAACAAAGTAAATGAACAGTTACATTTTATATTGCAATAAACAATAACAAGATACATCTTTCGAGTAGCACAAAGTATGCGATAGAAAAAAAGGCTTTGTACATCAGAATCAAAAATCCATAAAACTGTTGAATATTGTAGCATTTAGAAGAACACTAATGTCCAATGCAACAAGCAGGCAGCCATATCAACTCAAGGCACATAGATCTATATGCATGGTGCTACACATACACTACCAAATAATGTAAAGGTGATGCAGCCACCGGACGTCACATAAGCAGACACTGGCTTTGCCGCGAAAAGACTGAAGAGAGATCTGCCACATCGACGACGAGCACACCTAACTGTGCCACAGTGAGTCAGCATCTTTGAGTTTAGCTGTTCGGTTGTGAATCTGTAGCGCTTATTGAAAACCAAGTCTTAAATCTTATCTGAATCTAGTTTCATTATTTAAATATAAGGATCTTTTTTTCTATGTAATATGCAAGTATACATTTTTTAAGCAAGTACACAGGATTCTAGTAGATTTATGATCGATAAATGTCACATTAGAAATAATAGAAAAAGTGACATTTAGATGTTTAGGACTGCAGACAACTTAAACTCATCTCACCATAAACTCATTGTTATAAGGAATGGATTATTTTTGGAGTGCAAAATCACTTCAAATGGACACACAGGTACATACGCGATAAATGTTCTTATCATTACCCAAATCGAACAGGTACTGTAACATTAATGTATTTCACTGAGGAATACAATATTCAGACACAAATTGTATTTATAATGTCTTCTGAATTTAGTGTAAAGCAATTGATACAGTTAATTTAAAGTAAGTGTGCTTAAAACCACCATGACAGGTAGTGAAATGTCTCTGGAATCCACATTACAATAACACACCTTCGGTCAAGACACACAACCCAACACCATCTGACCGTTAATGAAATGTTTTCAAAGCTCTGGAATCAACATTCCTTTTTTAAAACATCCGTCATATAATAAAAGGTATGAGGAACATCTTTGCAGAGGCTAAATTTGGTTTCTAATGTCAGAGCCATTGATGGAATAAACAGAGCCCTCCATCTTCCTGGTGGACTTCTTTCAGGGCCGCTGTTTGATCTCATCGGTGAAGCAAAAAGACTGGGCAGGGGGGGTTAAAGGAATAGAGGGACTTGATGTAACGCATACATCTGTTCTGATGGATGGGGGTGGGGGGAGGCTGGGTCAGACTCAGGGGTTGAGGTGCTCATCTTCCATATGAAGGCTGCTTGTGGGACACAGGAGAGGCTGGCTGGAGCAGTTAGTGCTCTGACTCTTCAGGCTTTCTGTGGACTCTGATGACCCTGGAGAGGAAGAAGCAATGGATAACCAACATGGCTCAAAGGGAAGTTTTCAGTCAGACGAGAGAAAAAAAACCATTGCCTATTCTTCCTAAAATAGGCCTAACACCGTCACTTGATAATACCTGCCAGACCTTCTGTGTGACAGTTGATATCCTTAATGGAGGACTGAGTGAGAGCAGTAGAGCTCGCACACAGGCCCAATCCCAATGTCCCACTAAACCCTGATCCCTCAGGGACTGAATTGACGTCCTGGTAAGTGCTTCAGTGTGGAGGGAATGGTATAAACAGACCTTTTTACAATTTGCACTTTCTTCAAGGCTTATTTAAGCTGCTCTGGCTTAACAGAATTGTCAAATTATCTACTTACCAAAGAAAAAAGAAATCCTAAATCCTTTTTAATGTATTGTTTCTTTGTTATTATACCAGTGCAACCAACATATACGTTTGTTTAACTGAACACCCAATGTGACAGTCATCCTTTACTAGGTTTTCTCCCAGGTTATTCCGTGTTTTACATCACAATCATCTGAATTGTGGGTGATTCCCTCAGGCATAGTCTGTACAACTGCAGACAAATACAGAGTGTGTATATAAAGCTCAAAATGTCGGCAAGAGAGCCCTCATGCAGTAGAAGATTTGACAGAGGGACAGCCCTAAGCCCTTGCAGACCTAACAGGAACGTGCTTCACAGTCTGTGAGTGTGGACATGGGCACTGAGCCCCAGAAAAGCAGAGCAGACAGGAAAGCCTACATACCAGAGTTATTCCTCCAAACCAATGGAGCAGGAATCAGGACCTAGAGCTGCCCAAAGCGAGGCAATACGAAGGGACAGGACGGAAGGAACCAGAAGAGGATTGTTAGGAAAAAGAGAAAAGAGAAGCACACAGGTTAGATGCAGAGCACAGGATATCACAACCTGGAGTCTTGGGTTTAAGAAGAGGAACGTTAGAGAACCAGAACTAGAAAGGAGTTGAGAATGAGACGAACCACATGTTTTTAGTAATTCATTTTAAAAGCTGCAGTGAATGCTTGATCCAATTTGCTTTAAGCCGTCATCAAGTACAGGTTGAAACTGTTGATGGATTTATACAAATGTTTATATACACAGTAGATATTAGTGTTGCACGGTGTACCGATACTTGAAAGGTACCGCGATACCCTGCCGTTAAAAACGTTACGATTCCTCCGTTTCATTAGTATCGGTACTTTAAGAATGACGGGGGAAAGTACTCCGGTGAGAAAGCACTGTTTTAATAAGAGCCGTGTGTTCAGCGCTCTGCTTCCACTCCCTGCACTGCAGCCGTGCCTGCAGTCCCGCCCCTCTCAAGCACGCTCTAAGTCCCTCCCCTCTCTCGTGCACGCGCTAGCTGCCAGAGCATGTGAGGAAACGAGAAGGATGGCTGCAAGTGGGAGTGCTACTGCTGCTGCGCCTCGGCTTGTTGACAAAAAAGACGCCAGAAGCGGCATTTTGATGTATTTTAGCTATATCTCTGACAGTGAGGGCAAGCCTACGGACACCACGAGGCCTGTCTGTAAGAAATGTTTTAATTTGATTTAATACGAATTCTTGTCATTTATTTTATTTATTGTTCTCATTGTTTAAAAGTTTGTGTTATGGTTCTGGTGTGAAATAAAGCACAACAATTACATTTAAGACTTTTTCCCTTTTTTTTAAGAAAAGTATCGGAATCGCAAT